CTGTGGTGCTCTATGTGTATTTCTTTGAGTGTACACAGTTAATGTATTTGTATACATAGTTTTTATGTCCTTCCTAAATATTAGTTGATATATATATTAATATTTTGTATTCTTTTCTGACTCAAGTCATACTGGTGATTGTGTAAAAATGTATTGTAAAAACTTTTAAAAATTGTGTAAGGTAACACTGTTTCTTGTCACATGTTCATCTTGTCATGTGACTTGCTTTGCTTTTAAAAGAGGTACACCTGAAGGTGATTATTTATGCCCTGACAAAGACCGCTGTTGGTCGAAACGTGTAGGCAGTCCATTTAATGAAGGACTTTTATTTTTTCACTTTAACAGAGAGCCTCAGACTTCTTTTTTTCTTTTTGACATTCTAAATCTGTTTAGATTGCCCCGTCTTTGAAGAGCACCTGATATTTATGCCTTCTACTACTCGTACCCTCTGCAGCACTCACCTTCCTTGCTTTAAACCATGCGTTCATTAGTTCAAAAGTCAATTTACTTCTGTAATTCAACTTACATTGTGAAACTAATACATGACAAACTCATTACATGCTAAGTGAGATGTATTAAGTCTTTTTTTCGTTATAATGTTGGTAATTGTTGGTAATGTTGGTAATATAGCTAGTTTAGCTACTACTTATTTTGTGTGCTCCCTGTGTGCTCTTACTACTGTCCTGTCTGTGCGCTGCAACATTGAAATTTCCCCACTGTGGGACGAATGAAGGAACTCTTATCTTATCTTATCTTATAAGCCATAATCGTCAAATTATAAAAAAAATAAAAAGGCTTGGCATATATCACATATAAAGAGCCTCTAATTTATTTGTTTCACATTTTTAAGTCGTATACGCACAGGATTAGTATTACCTGTGGAACTGTGATAATCAGAGAGGACGTCTTGACTAGAGATATTAGTGTGATTGCGCCATGTCTGTAATTTGTAAAGTTTTTGTAATTTGTAAATTCCGCCACAAATGACCTCCTGTATTTGGCCAAACACAGACGTCTTGAGATAATACTAATCCTGTGCGAATCTGCATCTCAGTGATTGTGATTGCTATTTCCACCTGCTCTACTTTCTGCGTTGTTTTTTGTCAATATCTTGCGCCTTTTCATATCTCTTCCCGGCTCGAACCATGGTGGCTGCAATAGTAATGTTAATTCGCAGTTTTTAAAACTATAATAAGATAAGATAAGAGTTCCTTTATTCGTCTCACAGTGGGGAAATTTCGATGTTGCCTACATACAGGGAGCACACATAATATACAAAATAAGTAGTAGCTATGTTTCTTAACTAGCATAACTTGCTGTAGATGCTGAAAATGCTTCAATACCAGTAAAAAAAACATATATATATATATATATATATATATATATATATATATATATTTAGTAGTGCAGAGTTTTATACTATACATATAGTGCAGGATAATAGGTACAATGTAAGTAAAGTGACATTGTTGCAGTATTGTCCATTGCACATGATTTAAGAATAATGTACGGCTTGTACACATCACAAGCACAGCGAGTATCCTCTGCTCTCCTGACCAGAGGAGACTCACGTATCGCAGCTGTGTACACACCGGTGAGACACGGCTGCTGCTGCCCCTGTGAGGTCTATGGAGAAGGGACGAGGACAGTACGGGCCGGAGAACTATCCGGCCTATCGTCCTGTGGCCCTCACGTCTGTTCTTATGAAAACTTTTGAGCGGCTTGTGCTGGACTTCATTAAGAGCCAGATCCCTGTGAGTGTTGACCCGCTCCAGTTTGCTTACAGACAGAACAGGAGTGTGGAGGATGCCATCTCCTTTGCTCTGAACTCTGTCTACAGTCACTTGGACACAAGTAAATCTGTCGCGAGAATGCTTTTCATTGATTATAGCTCTGCTTTTAACTGCCTTGTCCCAGGTAAACTGATTGAAAAGCTCATGTCTCTCGGTTTAAGTGTTGCCATGTGTAAATGGATTTTTAGCTTTTTAACTGACAGATCTCAGAGAGTGAAAATCAATGACTGTTTTTCTGATGTTGTTTCTGTGAGCACTGGTTCTCCTCATGGATGTATTTTGAGTCCTTTGCTTTTTACTTTGTACACTCACGATTGTGTGTCCTCCTCTGACTCAAACTTGATCATTAAATATGCTGATGACACCACCATCATCGGTCTCATCAGTAACAATGATGAATCCTCTTATAGAGCAGAGATACAAAATGTGGTTCAGGGGAGTAAAACTAACGTCCTCCAGTTGAACGCATCGAAAACATGTGAACTGGTCTACGACTTCAGTCGCAATAGTTCTCATTTGCCTGTCGTAATCGACAACTCCCAGGTGCAGATCGTGGAGGAGTGCAAGTTTCTGGGTTTAACTCTGTCTAACCTGAAATGGGTTAAAAACACTGACCGAGTCGTTAAGAAAGCTCGTCAGCGTCTCTACTTTCTGCGTAAACTTAGAGAATTTACCACTAACTCTAAGATTGTGCTTAACTTTTATCGCTGCACCATTGAGAGTTTACTTGTTGGTTCTGTGTCTGTGTGGTTTGGAAACATCACAGATAAAGAAAAGAGAGCTTTAAACAAGGTGCTCCGCTCTGCAAAGAGGACCGTGGGCTGTGAGCTTCCTGTTCTGGAGGTTCTTTATAAATCCAGACTTTTAAACAACGCTCTTAGGATTGTCAATGACTCTTCTGGCCACCCTGGGAAAGCCATGTTCCAGCTTCTTCCCTCTGGCAGAAGATATTGCTCTCAGTGTGACGGAGCGCCAGGGACTGCTCCGTCATAAACTGGGTGCTGCTCTCTCCCTGCGCTGAAGAGAGGAGCGCGTCTGAGCGTGCGTGTGGCGCGGCATGCCGGCAGGTCCGCGCTAGTCACCGCACGGCCCTGCATCAACACAAACTCTTCCTCTGCCAATACTATCCCCGTAGCGCACAAGGGTGCACACTTGCTGCCTACACACACATCTCATCTTCCCCCATACACAACTCACCTACTGCTTGTCTCGGTCCACTGGCCAAACCGAAGCACTTCCTGGTCGCACCATATATAGCGCAGGGCGCGCGCTTGTGGTGGGCCAGAGGACTCTAATTCTTAAAAGTATTAAAATGTGTCGTCTTCTATTGTTTGTGCATTGCTATATGGGGCAATGGAGAGGCATGTTCACACTGAGGAACAGGGAGGGAACTATGTGTGGGATTCCTTTGTTTTATCAGTTTAGAAGAAACCCCCTGTTAATTATTAATGGGTTAGCCCAGGGGCGGGGCTAACCAGTTAAAAGAGTGCGTGCTCACTCCTGAGAGTGTGTTCTGTCAGTCTGTGAGTGAGCTGGGTTGAGCTGTACTGGAATTGAACCCAAACTGAGCCGGCTGTAAGTCCTGTCTTTTCTTGTGAGTCTGTTTTTTTTTTCCCTGCACTGTAAATATGTTTCACTTAGTGATGGGTAAATGAAACCTCACGTATCGTTTTGGCACATCCAACAAACTGTGTTGATACTGTGCCGCAACAGTGTTGCTTGTGCTGCTCTATACTGACACCTGGTGGATCTGATAAATCATTGCATCCAACTCACTGATTCAATGAGCTTTACATACTTGTCTGCACACAATATTACGTAACTGCATTGTCTGTGTTATTTTATTTTATGTGATAATTAAAGTGATAGTTGTGAATGTATTCATTAAGCAAAATGTCATTGAGTTTTTTTCTTTTTTTTCAAAACAATAAGCATGTCCAAAGTGCACTGCAAACCCTGGCAACTAAAGTATACTTGAAAAAACCTTTGACATTTTCTGCACTTCAATGTCTCAAAATTATTTTTCAAGACTGTGATGTCAACATAAACTTTTGAGATCCGACAGGGATTCGTACCCAGTTCTCTCAAACGCGAGGCGAGAGCGCTATCCACTCATCCACCATGCCTAACTAGATTTTGCGTTTCAAACTAAAGCTGGATTGTAGATAAAGCGTGAAATGTAAAATACAAACATTGCCTTATTTGTTGTTATTTGCAGTATCACACTGCAGAATACTTTCTTTTAGTGGCATGTTCCATTTTTTATGCTGTAAAATGGGATGCTTTTCCTTTTTGAAAGGGTTATTTTCTTTTTCTGAGAGCGGTTCATACCGGTGACACTTGCAGATGCGGAACCTTTTAAACACAGTTTGCCGTGTCGGTGACAAGCGACACTGCGGCTGTATTGGTCACGTGGCTTTTTCATAAAGCGACACGCGCGCCGATACGAGGTTTCGCTAAACGAACTCGGCACATGCGCCGGTGTATCAGTGTTGCTGGACCCATCACTAGTTTCACTGTTCACTGTTTTGGTGTGTAAATAAAACCACCACAATTTATTTTCCCGTCTGAGCCATCATTATTCCCATCATTTTTAAACGAACCTTCACATTTGGTGTCAGGAGTGGGATGGCTAGTCGGCGTATGAAGACTTTTGCTAAGCGCACAGGACTGCGCTCAGGGAAGCTGGAAACAGTGCAGGATGACCCAGCCTGGGTCACAGACGAGGGGGACGCAGGGGGCGCTACTGCTCATCTCCTTAAACAGCCAAGACCGGGAGAAGCCAGCGCGCAGGAGATGCTCGCCATGATGCGGTCTTTCATGGAGGGTCAGGAGCGGCGCGAAGACCGGTTCCTGGCGGAGCTCAGGGGACTGAGGGACTCGTTTCCAGTACCAGACTGTACCAGGTCACCATCAGAGGGCACAGAAACGAGTATGAGACTGGATCTGCCTACTCCAGCACCTCGCAGACGCCGCAGTTCCGCCGAACTGCAGAGGCCCAGTTTGGGATCCGAGAGGGTCCTGTCCCGACCGGAAAGTCGACCCGCCGGGGACCCAAAGATTCCCCAGTACCTGGCCGGGGAGGACATTGAAAATTACCTCCTCCGGTTCGAGAGGATTGCCAAAACCTGGGGTTGGCCAGAGTGTGAGTGGGCGTGTCGTTTGGTGCCACTACTCTCTGGGAAGGCACTCGAAGCGTACACCGCTATGGACGAGGAGCGGGCTCACACATATTCGGATCTGAAGGACGCTTTGCTCACGAAATTTGACATATCCCCAGAGACCTACAGACAGAAGTTCCGGACGGTGACGATTCCTGCTGGAGAGAACCCTGCGGAGACGTACCACCGCCTCAAGGGGCTCTACCGCCGATGGATCCGCCCGGAGCAGCACACAAAGGAGCAGATCGGAGAACAGATCATCCTGGAGCAGCTTCTGCGTGTTTTCCCTGCAGATATCCGCACCTGGGTGAAGGAGCACGAGCCGACAGAGGGCCTAGCGGCGGCTAAACTAGCGCAGCAGTACCTCAACGCTCGGAGAGGAGGCCCGGCGCCTTACCAAGGTGGTCCCGGACGTCAGACTCCAGCACAGACCAGCTCTGCCAGAGTCCACACACAGCAGTCTCCAGACTCCAACCATGCAGCCAGCCAGCGCGGTCCCGGTAAGGACTTTGTATGTTTTTATTGCCAGCAGTTGGGGCACAAAGCCTCTGTGTGCCCAATAAGAAAAGCTAAATTGACTGGCGCATGTTACACACCCCGTGCAGAGGACTTAAGTGCTGTAGGCAGGCGTCAGCGCTTCAAAGAAGTCTCTATTAATGGAGATCCTGTGACTGCCCTGATTGACTCTGGGAGCTATATGACACTGATTCGGAGGGATTTAGTGCCAACGGGCCAGGTGGATTATAGCAGAAAGGAGGACATTTTCTGTGTACACGGTGACAGACATTCTTACCCAACAGCAGAACTCACACTAGTGGTCAATGAGCAGCCCTATTTATTGACTGTGGGGGTGGTAGAAGGGTTACCTGTAGCAGCTATTTTGGGTTGGGATATACCTGTGCTGTTGGACATACTGCGGGAAGAGGGACCCAAGGACAGTGACTGGGGAAGGGGGTTTTCTGGACTGGTAACTACTCGTTCACAGGCTAAAGCGGGGGGTAAGCCAGTCCCAGTTCAGAGAGTACCAGAGCCTGAACTTGAGCCATTTTCCACATTGGACTCTAGTTTATTTGAAGGGGGAACAAAGGGGCCAAGAAAGTGTCGCAAGCAGCGGCGCTTCGAGAAAGGGCTAAAGCGGGCAGAGCCAAACTGTCAGGACTTTTTGTGGGAAGTTCCGGCGGACATTGGGGCAGTGCAAAGAGCGGACGCAACATTAAAATCACTGTTTGCGAAAGTGATTGGGGGACTAGATATGGCAAAGGGGGACAAGGATTGTTTTATTGTTGACAGTGCTATTTTGTATGCAGTGGCAGACGGTGTCAAGCGCCTCGTGGTTCCTGTGTCCTGCCGGCCAATGATTATGCACCTGGCACACACCTTGCCTTGGGCTGGTCATCTGGGCCGCAACAAAACCCATTTACGCATAGCTTCGAGGTTTTATTGGCCGTCTATGTATACAGATGTTCAAAACTACTGCAAATTCTGTCCTGTCTGCCAGAAAACTAGTTTTGTTCGCCAATCTGACCGTGCGTACCTCCAACCTATGCCTGTCATTTCCACCCCATTTCGCCGCATAGCAATGGACATTGTAGGGCCCTTAGTTCGAAGCAGTGGAGGCCACCAGTACATCCTGGTCCTCTGCGATTATGCCACACGGTTCCCCGAGGCGTTCCCCTTGCGCACCGTTACTACCCCTGCTGTGCTGCGGTGTCTTGTTCAGTTGTTTTCCAGGGTTGGTGTCCCGGACGAGATTGTGACGGACCAGGGGACCAACTTCACCTCCCACCTGATGCAGCTCTTCCACCGCCAGCTGGGAATCTCTGCGATCAAGACCACCCCGTACCACCCACAGACGGACGGTTTGGTCGAGAGGTTCAACCAGACGCTGAAGAGGATGCTGCAGAAATTTGTGGCCGATACCGGACGGGACTGGGACCAGTGGCTACCCTACCTGCTCTTCGCCTACCGAGAGGCACCCCAAGCATCCACCGGTTTCTCCCCGTTCGAGCTGCTCTATGGATGGGATGTCCAGGGTCCGCTAGACCTGCTACTGAAGGCCTGGGAGGCTCCCGCCTCGACCACCAGCGATCGCCATATTGTCCAGTTTGTGTTGGAGATGCGTGATCGGCTGGCCAAGTATCGGGAGGAGGCGGAGGTCAACCTACGCGCTGCCAGCGGTCCCAGAAGGCGTGGTACGACCAACAGGCCCGACATCGCGAGTTCCAGCCCGGTCAGAAGGTCCTGCTACTCCTGCCATCGTCCAACCACAAGCTTCTGGCGAAGTGGCAGGGGCCATACTCTGTGGTCAGGAAGATGGGCCCTGTGACCTACGAGATCCACCACCCAGAGAAGAGGAAAGCGAAGCAGACCTACCACGTCAATCTGCTGAAGGAGTGGAAAGAGGCGGCAGTTCCAGCTTCCATGGCGTCCCTGCTGGTGACCGAGGTAGACAGTGACGGGGAGGAAGAGTCTACGCTTTCCGACCTCCAGCGGCCTGCTGAACCATCCATCCATCCATCCATTTTCTTCCGCTTTATCCGTTGCCGGGTCGCGGGGGCAGCAGTCTAAGCAGAGACGCCCAGACTTCCCTATCCACACACACTTCCTCCAGCTCGTCCGGGGGGACCCCAAGGCGTTCCCAGGCCAGCTGAGAGACATAGTCCCTCCAGCGTGTCCTAGGTCTTCCGCGGGGCCTCCTCCCGGTGGGACGTGCCCGGAACACCTCCCCAGGGAGGCGTCCAGGAGGCATCCGGAACAGATGCCCGAGCCACCTCAACTGGTTCCTCTCGACGTGGAGAAGCAGCGGCTCTACTCCGAGCTCCTCCCGTGTGACTGAGCTCCTCACCCTATCTCTAAGGGAGCGCCCAGCCACTCTGCGGAGGAAGCTCATTTCGACCGCTTGTATCCGCGATCTCGTTCTTTCGGCCATTACCCAAAGCTCATGACCATAGGTGAGGGAGGGAACGAAGATTGACCGGTAAATCGAGAGCTTTGCCTTTCGGCTCAGCTCCTTCTTTACCACAACAGTCCGATACAGCGACCGCATCACTGCGCACGCTGCACCGATCCGCCTGTCAATCTCACGCTCCATTCTTCCCTCACTCGTGAACAAGACCCCGAGATACTTGAACTCCTCCACTTGAGGAAGGACCTCTCCACCCACCTGAAGAGGGCAGGGCACCTTTTTCCGGTCGAGCACCATGGCCTCAGATTTGGAGGTGCTGATTCTCATCCCAGCCGCTTCACACTCGGCTGCAAACCGTCCCAGTGCATGCTGCAGGTCCTGGTTCGTTGGAGCCAACAGGACAACATCGTCCGCAAACAGCAGAGATGAAATCCTGTGGTCCCCGAACCGGACCCCCTCCGACCCCTGGCTGCGCCTAGATATTCTGTCCATAAATACAGTGAACAGAACCGGTGACAAAGGGCAGCCCTGTCGGAGGCCAACATTCACCGGGAACAGGTCTGACTTACTGCTGGCAATGCGAACACAGCTCTGGCTCCGGTCATACAGGGACCGGATGGCCCTCAGCAGAGGACCCCCGACCCCGTACTCCCGGAGAACCCCCCAAAGGACACCCCGGGGAACACAGTCGAACGCCTTCTCCAAATCCACAAAGCACATGTGGACAGGTTGGGCGAACTCCCATGAACCCTCGAGTATCCGATGGAGAGTATAGAGCTGGTCCAGTGTTCCGCGACCGGGACGAAAACCACACTGCTCCTCCTGGATCCGAGATTCGACCATCGGCCGTAGCCTCCTCTCCAGTACCTTGGAGTAGACCTTACCGGGGAGGCTGAGGAGTGTGATCCCACGATAATTGGAACACACCCTCCGGTCCCCCTTCTTGTAGAGAGGGACCACCACCCCGGTCTGCCACTCCATTGGCACCGCCCCCGATCGCCACGCGATGTTGCAGAGACGTGTCAGCCAAGACAGTCCTACAACATCCAGAGACTTTAGATAATCAGGGCGGATCTCATCCACACCCGGAGCCTTGCCACCATGGAGGCTACCAACCACCTTGGTGACCTCAGCCAGGGAGATGGATGTATCCGCCCCAACATCCTCAGCCTCTGCCTCTGAAACAGAGGACGTGACGGGGGGATTGAGGAGAACCTCAAAGTATTCCTTCCACCGCCCGACAATATCCCCAGTCGAGGTCAGCAGCTCTCCACCCGCACCGTACATGGTGTTGGCAAAGAACTGCTTCCCCCTCCTGAGGCGCCGGACGGTTTGCCAGAATTTCTTTGAGGCCGACCGATAGTCATGCTCCATGGACTCTCCGAACTCCTCCCAGTCCCGGGTTTTTGCCTCTGCAACAGCCCGGGCCGCGGCACGCTTGGCCTGCCGGTACTGGACAGCTGCCTCAGGAGTCCCCCGAACCATCATGGCTCGATAGGACTCCTTCTTCAGCCTGACAGCATCCCTTACTGCCGGTGTCCACCACCGGGTTCGGGGGTTGCCGCCGGGACCAGCACCAGAGACCTTGCGGCCACAGCTATGAGCCGCCGCATCGGCGATTGAGGCAGAGAACATGGTCCACTCGGACTCCATGTCCCCCTCCTCCACCGGGACCTGGGAGAAACTCTCCCGGAGGTGTGAGTTGAAAGTCCGTCTGACAGGGGGCTCAGCGAGACGTTCCCAGCAGACCCTCACTATACGCTTGGGTCTGCCAGGTCTGACCGGCTTCTTCCCCTGCCAGCGGATCCAACTCACGACCAGGTGATGATCGGTTGACAGCTCCGCCCCTCTCTTTACCCGAGTGTCCGAGACACGCGGTCGAAGGTCAGATGATACGACAACAAAGTCGATCATCGACCTCCGGCCTAGGGTGTCCTGGTGCCACGTGCACTGGTGGACACCCTTGTGCTCGAACATGGTGTTCGTGATGGACAAACTGTGACTGGCACAGAAGTCTAACAACTGAACACCGCTCGGGTTCAGATCAGGGGGGCCGCTCTTCCCGATCACCCCTCTCCAAGTGTCACTGGCGTTTCCCACATGGGCGTTGAAGTCCCCCAGGAGAATAACGGAGTCCCCGGGCGGTGCACCGTCCAGTACCCCTCCCAAGGACTCCAAGAAGGCCGGGTACTCTGCACTGCTGTTAGGCCCGTAGGCCGTCACAACAGTGAGAGACTTATCCCCCACCCGGAGGCGGAGGGACGCGACCCTCTCATTCACCGGGGAGAACTCCAACACGTGGCGGCTGAGATGGGGGGCAATGAGAATGGCCACCCCAGCTCGCCGCCTCTCCCCGCGGGAAACACCAGAAAAGTGGAGCGTCCAACCCCTCTCAAGGAGTTGGGTTCCAGAGCCCAAGCTGTGTGTGGAGGTGAGGCCGACTATCTCTAGTCGGTATCGCTCAACCTCCCCCACGAGCTCGGGCTCCTTCCCCCCCAGTGAGGTGACGTTCCACGTCCCAAGAGCCAGCTGTTGTGTGTGCGGACTGGGTCGTCGAGGTCTCCGCCTTCGACTGCTGCCCAGTCCTCTCTGCACCGTTTCGCCACCACGGACCCCTCTGCGGGTGGTGGGCCCACAGGAGGGACTGCCCACGTCGTCCATTCGGGCTGAGCCCGGCCGGGCCCCGTGGGCTAAGGCCCGGCCACCAGGCGCTCGCCAACGAGCCCCGACCCCAGGCCTGGCTCCAGGGTGGGGCCCCGGCTGCGCCATGCCGGGCGACGTCACTTATTTCTTTTGAGTGCTGTCCATGGTGTCTTCTGGACTGCTCTTTGTCTGACTCGTCACCCTGGCCTGCTGAACCAGCTCTGGGTCATCTCACCGCCACCCAGTCGACCCAGCTGTGTCAGGTTTTCCAGGGGGTCTCCAAGCTCTTCGCTGCCAGTCCAGGAAGGACTGCCCTCGTTGAGCACGTCATCCGGCTGAAAGACAAAGGCCCAGTTCGCCAGCGGTCTTATCGGGTTCCCCAACATCTTGTCGCCCAGCTGTTGACGGAGGTGGAAGATATGCAGCGCCTCGGTGTGATCGAGCCATCCCAGGCAGAGTGGTATAGTCCGGTGGTCATCGTCGTGAAGAAAGACGGGTCGCTCCGCATCTGCATCAACTTCCGGAAGCTCAACGCCATGTCAGAGTTCGACGCCTACCCGATGCCCCGGATAGACGACCTCCTGGAAAAGATTGGCCGGGCCCGGTTCATCACGACCCTCGACCTCTGCAAAGGTTACTGGCAGGTGCCACTAGAAGCGTCCAGTCGTCCCTACACGGCGTTCCAGACCCCTGCTGGCCTCTTCCAGTTCACCATGATGCCATTCGGTCTCCATGGAGCACCCGCCACATTCCAGAGACTGATGGACCGTGTGCTCAGGGGCTGTGAGGACTGCAGTGCGGCGTACCTGGACGACGTGGTCATCTTCAGCGACACCTGGGAACAGCACCTGCATCATCTGGAGAGAGTCCTCGGCCAGATAGAGCGGGCGGGACTGACACTTAACCCGTCAAAGTGTCAGTGGGCCAAAGAAGAGGCTAAGTATCTCGGCTACCGGCTGGGGCGAGGAGAAGTCCGACCACAGAGGGACAAAGTAGAGGCCATCCGCAGCTGTCCACGCCCTCGCACAAAGAAGGAGGTGAGGTCCTTCTTGGGCTTGGCCGGCTGGTATCATCGGTTTGTCCCACAGTTCGCCACCATCGCCGCTCCACTGACCGCGCTGACGATGAAGGACCAGAGGAACCCGGTCGTCTGGAACGAGGACTGCGAGACAGCCTTCCAGGCCCTCAAGTCCTACCTCTGCTCATCGCCGGTGCTGCGGAGCCCCGACTTCGAACAGCGGTTCCTGGTCCAGACTGACGCTTCTGCCGTGGGACTAGGAGCGGTCCTGGCTCAAGGGGACCCTGGAGAAGAACGTCCTGTACGGTACCTGAGCCGGAAGCTGCTGCCGCGAGAGACCAGGTACTCTACCGTGGAGAAGGAGGGCCTGGCCATCAAGTGGGCTCTGGAGAGCCTGCGGTACTACCTGCTGGGAAGAGAGTTCGACCTCGAGACGGACCACCGGGCGTTGACTTGGATGAATTCCATGAAGGACCATAACAGTCGTCTCACCCGCTGGTACCTCTCCCTCCAGCTGTTCCAGTTCCAGATCCGCCATCGAGCTGGGAAGACCAATGTCGTGGCAGACTACCTGTCCAGGTTGCCGCACATCGTCAACCTCGAGGAGGAGGGGGATAATGTGACGGAGCGCCAGGGACTGCTCCGTCATAAACTGGGTGCTGCTCTCTCCCTGCGCTGAAGAGAGGAGCGCGTCTGAGCGTGCGTGTGGCGCGGCATGCCGGCAGGTCCGCGCTAGTCACCGCACGGCCCTGCATCAACACAAACTCTTCCTCTGCCAATACTATCCCCGTAGCGCACAAGGGTGCACACTTGCTGCCTACACACACATCTCATCTTCCCCCATACACAACTCACCTACTGCTTGTCTCGGTCCACTGGCCAAACCGAGGCACTTCCTGGTCGCACCATATATAGCGCAGGGCGCGCGCTTGTGGTGGGCCAGAGGACTCTAATTCTTAAAAGTATTAAAATGTGTCGTCTTCTATTGTTTGTGCATTGCTATATGGGGCAATGGAGAGGCATGTTCACACTGAGGAACAGGGAGGGAACTATGTGTGGGATTCCTTTGTTTTATCAGTTTAGAAGAAACCCCCTGTTAATTATTAATGGGTTAGCCCAGGGGCGGGGCTAACCAGTTAAAAGAGTGCGTGCTCACTCCTGAGAGTGTGTTCTGTCAGTCTGTGAGTGAGCTGGGTTGAGCTGTACTGGAATTGAACCCAAACTGAGCCGGCTGTAAGTCCTGTCTTTTCTTGTGAGTCTTTTTTTTTCCCTGCACTGTAAATATGTTTCACTGTTCACTGTTTTGGTGTGTAAATAAAACCACCACAATTTATTTTCCCGTCTGAGCCATCATTATTCCCATCATTTTTAAACGAACCTTCACACTCAGATTCAGATTCATTTTATTCGCCATTTGCAGTAACACTACATTGGAATACATTAGTAAAAGTTCCCAGTGTGCACAGGACAAGTACAGACATAAAACAACATTAAAAGACAAAAATAAAACACATTTTAAAAACAGTAAACAAATGTCACTGTGAAGTTGACCAACTAAAACAGATCTATACAAGTGCAAAAACATTGTCCTGCATCTCTGAGATGCAGGACATCTCGTTACGCTAACAGTTTTTATCCACAAGCTGTTATCAGTGTGAACAGAACACTTTAATGATTTGCACTTGTTTTGAACTGTTTTAGTCGATCAATTTCACAGTGACATTTGTTTACTGTTTTATTTTTGTCTTTTAATGTTGTTTTATGTCTGTATTTGTCTGTGCACACTGGAGACTTTTGCTAATGTATTCCAATGTGGTGTTTTTACTGCAAATGGCAAATAAACTGAATCTGAATTGAACTATAACTATAGAGCAGTAAAATCCACATGTGTTTGTCCTCCCGGCCTATGTGGCTGGGAGGACACATAGGTGCAAGACTATATGAAAAAAAATTAAAATAAACAAGGTCCAGAACCACTGTCAAACCAGCTCCTCCCGCTAAAGTTTAAATACAATGTTGTGTGTGTGATGTTGTGTGTGGAGCTGATCTAGTGTCAAGGACCATCAGCACAAACCATGTGTTTTGTTGGGGAGATTCGTCTCTGCAAGGATCCTTTGGGCTGTGTGAAGCGAAGAGACTCACACATGTGTGGCCGTTTTGTGAAATGTCAGTGAAAATATAGTAATTTACAGACTTTGCTTATCATGTGTGAATCCACTGCAAGTATCACAGGGATGGGGCAGTAATTTGAAAATTACCCTAGGTCCACAATTAATACTAATACCGTGTGAATAGGGCTTAAGTTGAATAACAGAAATACATAACATTTTGATCAAGGTTTCATGAACTCTGTCATTTTTATATTCATTCTAATTAAGGCCAGCAATATTTTTATTCCTACATTTGTGTGCTCCTTTTATATTATAATTTATGTTTAACTGATCCTTATGTCTTCTGTTTTCATTTATGAGATTTTTTAATGTTCTTTTTATTTAACCTTCATTAGTCACTTCCTCCTTGTGTTTAAATGTAAACTCCACCTGGAATCAGAATCTGCTTAACATGAGCAGATAAGGTTCCTGGCAGCATATGCATGAGCGTGCATAGGTGCGTCCTTCCTCTCTGTTTCCTTCACTGGGCCCTCTGAAGGTCATCACTAGAATTGGAAAGTGCACTTTGCAGAGTCAAACAGATGCGGCGAACCGATAGCACATTGTTAATCTAATCTTGTATCAGCGCTGAAACGAAGTACAAACAAAGTCCCCTCACAATCAGATGAGCAACGCCTGGCTTTTACACTGTCAAGGACTTGATGTATGTGCCCCCAAATGTGTTTACGCCTCAGATTTGAGAGAAGTATCAGAAAAATCTAAATAGAAAAGGCACTGTCCATGTTTCTGATAGCAGAGTTTTGGAAGTTGGTAATTTTGTAAAAAAAAAAAAAAAAAGCTTGGATGGAGGTAGATTAGAACTGCCCCTTATCGTGAACCTCACTCTGGACTTTTTCTAGACCAATTTTAGAGGAGCAGTGTTAATATTTCATTACTACTTTCTAAAAACTTTTCCAGCTCCGGTCGCCCTGACTTGGCTTAGTCAAGGTTCACAGTCAGCACTGCTCAAATGGTTAAATGCAGAGGACCAACATTCCTACAAGACAATAGAGTATACTGTAACCTTATGTCACCTATCTGTTCGATCTGTAAAGGAGATAAATTAAGCAAAATTAACTTTTGAGAGCTTTTTACCATGTTACATATTATTTCTCGTCAAAAACAGACCTGGGGATGTTTTTAGATCCTCAAAGACTAATATTAGGAACTTGTTGCACATATGACTCTGCCCCTTCTATCTAAAAGCCTCTGTCTCAGTCTTGAGAGAGTATGATGTGATTGTACCCTATATGACATCATCCTCAGAGCAGCCTTATTTACCATTGTCCATAAATAAGTTTTGGCAATCATGTTCTTTACAATCATAGTAGCCAGTATTTTTTTTTCAGCAGCCGGTAAACCAGTTTTATCATGTTCTACTTGGGATATTATTTCACATTCTAAAACATGATATGGCAAAAATAAATAGTCTTGTTATCATTTTGAATAGCTCAAATATTGCATAATATTTCTTCTTACAACTATTCCTTTTAGAACAGAGTTGCCTCTTTGTTGCAACACTGACATTGCATCTTATCTTAAAACATCCATATGTAAAACTCCCCACTCCTCAGCTGCTTGTTAAGCAAATGACTATTGCAGAAATTGTCTGTGATTTGGCTGAGGTCGCTGAGTGATTGTGCGCCAGGCCGATTCGCAGCCCAGACCCCGCTGATGCCGTTCTGTGGGGTGAATAATGATGGCAGCACATTGACTGAGGTCTTAAATTAAGGGTACTTATCTTAATTGAACATCTGAAATAATGTTTTATTTACTACAATGGAAAGAGCCGGAGAAATGAAGTGGCCTGCATGATTCTCTCGCTCTAGTGGGCCTTCTCTGTGCCCCGTTAAGCTTCAGTTGTTGCAGTATACATTTCTGATGAGATGCGTTTATGTGTTATCAAGCATGGGGGAATGTGGAGGTAAGGATGAAGAGCAGAGGTGATTTCCCCCTTACCTACTTTTATTATACTTAAAATAAAGTAAATTACTATACTATAAAGTAAATTACTATACTTAAAGTAGATTATATTTTATAGTTTATTTTTTATACATATAGAACATTATTCTGAAATTGAAGTGTTAGGTGTACCCATTTTTAATTGAAACAAAGAAGAAAAAAAAAAACATTCAATTTTAAAACCTGAAAAACATCTTACAGTGATAGCGGTTGAATCAAGTATTTATTCATTTCCTTTGATTTAGTTCTTTACAAGGTGGATTATTAAAACTATATTTTAATAATGCTATGTATATATTGTTATTATAAATGAGCTGCTGAAACGGTTTGTGACTTTTTGTATTTGTTTCTTTAAAAAAGAACATTTTTATTGATAGAAACTTGATTATAACCACAGTGACCACACTACAAATCATTGATATTGTTAGAGTAATTGACTGGTTTCCCATCGGAGAGATTATATGAATTTCTGCCAACCAAATGTCAAGTTCAACCTGGGAGCTCATCTCCAGTGTGCTCCTTCAGCTAGCGTGACGGCCGTGATTGAGGGAGCTGATACCTTCCTCTGATCACTCGTGTGATTACATAAAATCACTACTTCTGAGGCAGAAAATGTCCAGCCAACAGCAGGACAGGGAGAGAATTGATTGGAGATCTTAGCAATTACCCTTTATTCTTCTATAAACACGAAGGCTGTCATTTTCTGATGTGTCTCTGTGGTGAGTATGCTGCATTTGAATAAGATTGTTTACAATGTTTTTGTTGGATATTTGCAGCATAAACTTTAGAGAAAAAGGTTATCAGACAATAGGGAAAAACAAACCTATGACTCAACATTTCATGACTAATTTGTGTGTGGCATTTCCATAATATTTTTCCTTTGAGTGGAACTTTGACCTTCCTTTACTATCTTCATATAACTGCACCAAAACAAATTACCACTTCTATGTGCAATCATATCTTTAGTCAAAAATGCATGGTGAAACAAGAATCAAGGGTGATGCTGATTGGCCTGCCCTGCCGGCTGCCAACACGACCATGTGATTGTGATGTGGTGTCTGCTATTATAACTTCTATTATATTCAGTGATGGGAATAACGGCGTTACTAGTAACGGCGTTACTAACGCCGTTACTTTTTTCAGTAACGAGTAATCTAACTAATTACTTTGACAGTAACTATAACGCCGTTATCATTTCCGACATCCCGTTACTGCGCGTTCTACGTCATGGTGCTACGTCCCTTAGGACTTCGCTAGTGGGATATCACTCGTGACCCCCAGGTCACACGCCAGAGAGATCAAAATAATTTGCTCCAATCACCAGCCACCTTCCTCTATAAATGCCCCTGCACAAGGCCGCACCCCCTCTTTCACTCTGGCGCCGATTGAGATCTACATTCAATTACCTGAGGAAAGATGTCTTCTGATGCTCGTCCGAGTTCCCCTTCGCCATCCGGCGTCGGACGTCGTCGTTGCTCGACTTGTCGGGTCAAGCTCCAGCGCAAGGACCAGCACTCCAGCTGCTTCGTGTGCCTGGGTTCGGGCCATGCGGCGTTGAGCGCCACCT